AGTGCCAGCACTATCACGCCAACTTAATAAAAACCAAAAGAAACATCTGCAATTGTGCGACCACGTGACGCGCTTTCCGCGTCCTTGGAATTTCTTCAATCGCGTAGGCCTGGACCCGTCCACCGACACAAAACAAATTACAATTTGAACGGTTTTTAATTGGCCGGCGAACGGTTATGAGGTCACGTGTCGGTTTTTCTTTGACAGCTGCGGCCTTGGCGCGGACGCCGCTCTTCGCACCAGAAAACCGCCGGCCACTTTTAATCGCCGATTAATCATTTGACGAAAATGTCATTGCCGGCGAACCCCGATCTGGATTAGTCGCCACAAAGCCCCGAATTAAGCTAATTGGGGTGACGTCAGCCGCTGAATAACGCCCAACGAAGTGTGAATGGGGCTTTATTTGCTAAATTGGCGCCGGGCACAAAGGGCTTGATTGGTGGATCGCGTAACGGGTTGACACGAGCCCACTAGATCAAACAAAGCGGCGAAAAATGGCCGACACGAGTCCGACTTCCGTTTGGATTTTTCAACTGCACACAAATGTCATTCTCATTAATCGTGGAAACAATCCGATTTCCTCTATTATTACAGAATTTTACAATGTAAGGTTAAGCGCTATTTATAGCCCGTTCGTATTTACAAACAAGTGAGTCAATGCTTCCTAGATGCGATTTTTGCGAAAATTCCAAAAGTAAGGTTAGGTCGGAACAATTGACACAATCACCATCAAGCACCATTTTCCAAAAATATCGGCCACACAAATGACCCAAACTTCTACATTTAAGTACGTAATCACCGTTAATAGGAGAAATGACGAATTGTCATTAACCATTTTAACTGTACATTTTGACAGCTTGATTGATCGATGGGTTCGGGCAGCCGATAATGATTTATGAGAAAGCTGTTGTTTTGGGTTTTCTCACGTCACAGTGGGCGTTTATCGAAAACTATGGGAGGCTATGATTTAGGTTCGGGAATTACCTAAAATGTGTTTTGGACCAACGCCAGCTGTGTAAATTTTCGCAAATGATGGGAGATTTTTGGTGTTTATGGAGGCCGAAAGTGGGGCGAATGGCGGGTTTGAGAGAAAAATGGGCTTGATGGTGTGAAAATGGCGCCGTTCCGCATTCATCGGATTTTTGGAAAGTGGAACAACAAAAATATTTTCGGGAAAATGGGTTGATTATGATTAGAGACGGTGTTTTTTTTTTTTTAAGTGGGAGCTGGAAATTACCATCTGGTCGACTGCGCGTGGAATGACATTTAAACCGCATTTTCTGTACATATTTTGTTTTGACACTGACATTTGACAGCAATGTCACGATCTTTTGCGATATTTTTTAATGTGTTGGTATGGATTTTTGCTCAAACCTTCATTTCAAAGCCAAGTACAAAGTAAAACATCTCAAATAACATGTTTTGTTTTGAGAAATTTTGATTTTTGTAAAATTACACGATACAGACATTGTGTAAAATGTCTTTTGCTGTCAAATGTCAATTCTATTTCTTTCTAGCTTCAGCTATGCTAAAAATATGTATCACGAAATTTTCTAAGAATTTTACAATTCTACACTTTTACAAATGTCAATTTTGACACGCACCCCGAAAGTCAGACACTTAACATGTAAAATTTTGTAAAATTACAAATACGAAGATTCTGTACAGTTCTATAGTTTGTAAAAAGCGTAAAATGACACTTGACAACGAAATTTTAGTGTTGAATTTTGAAACTAAACTTTTTTTTTTAATTTTGTAAAACTACACAAGCGAAAATTTTGTACAACAGGATGTCAAATGTGGCTCGAATTTTGGAAACTAAAGCTTTTCCCAAAAATGCTGCCAGAAGCAACTCTATTTTCCTAATAAAAATTAGACGCTCGATGTCGAATTTTAAATTTTGTAAAATTACATAAGCGAGGATTTTGTACAAGAGGATGTCAAACGCCAATTCCTTTGTTCATTATGGCTTTAGTTTACAAAAAATACACGTTGAAGATTTTTTAATTATTTTAAAATTCCACAGTTTATAAAAAGCACATCAAGAGCAACTTGATTTATCAAACAAAACTGTAATTTCGTGCTGAATAAAATCGCAGAAGTTTTCAATGAAAAGTCTGAAAATTTTTTACATTTGACTTTTATGTTTCGCATTATTAAAATCACTTTAATCTGAATTTTCACCTAAATTTAAAAGCATGTCAAATGTAAGCCTAAAATGCCATTAGACAACTAAATTTTAGTTGTTTGGAGCATAAAAATGTGGCTCGAATTTTGGAAACTAAAGCTTTTCCAAAAAATGCTGCCAGAAGCGACTCTATTTTTCTAATAAAAATTAGACGCCCGATGTGGAATTTTAAATTTTGTAAAATTACATAAGCGAGGATTTTGTACAAGAGGATGTCAAACGTCAATTCCTTTGTTCATTATGGCTTTAGTTTACTAAAAATACCCGTTGAAGATTTTTTAATAATTTTAAAATTCCACAGTTTATAAAAAGCACATCAAGAGCAACTTGATTTATCAAACAAAACTGTAATTTCTTACTGAATAAACTCGCAGAAGTTTTCAATGAAAAGTCAGAAAATTTTTTACATTTGGCTTTAATGTTTCGCATTATTAAAATCACTTTGATCTGAATTTTCACCTAAATTTAAAAGCATGTCAAATGTAAGCGTAAAGTGACATTAGACAATTAAATTTTAGTTGTTTGGTGCAGAAAAATGTGGATGGAATTTTGGAAACCAAGCCATTTCCAAAAAATACTGTCACCAGCAACTCTATTTTTCTGATAAAAGTTGGACGCTTGATGTGGAATTTTAAAATTTTGTAAAATTACACAAGCGAGGATTTTGTACAAGAGGTTGTCAAACGTCAATTCCTTTGTTCATTATGGTTTTAGTTTACTAAAAATACACGTTGAAGATTTTTTGATAATTTTAAAATTCCACAGTTTATAAAAAGCACATCAAGAGCAACTTGATTTTTGAAACAAAACTGTAATTTCTTACTGAATAAACTGGCAGAAGTTTTCAACGAAAAGTCTGGAAAGTTTTTACATTTGACTTTAATATTTCGCATTATTAAAATCACTGTAATCTGAATTTTCACCTAAATTTAAAAGCATGTCAACTGTAAGCGTAAAATGACATTAGACAACTAAATTTTAGTTGTTTGGAGCATAAAAATGTTTCTCTAATTTTGGAAACTAAAGCTTTTCTAAAAAATGCTGTCAGAAACAACTTTATTTTTCTAATAAAAATTAGACGCCCGATGTGGAATTTTAAATTTTGTAAAATTACATAAGCGAGGATTTTGTACAAGAGGATGTCAAACGTCAATTCCTTTGTTCATTATGGCTTTAGTTTACTAAAAATACACGTTGAAGATTTTTTAATAATGTTAAAATTCCACAGTTTATAAAAAGCACATCAAGGGCAACTTGTATATCAAACAAAACTGTAATTTCTTACTGAATAAACTCTAAAAAGTTTTCAATGAAAAGTCTGAAAATTTTTTACATTTGACTTTAATGTTTCGCATTATTAAAATCACTTTAAACTGAATTTTCACCTATATTTAAAAGCATGTCAAATGTAAGCGTAAAATGACATTAGACAACTAAATTTTAGTTGTTTCGTGCATAAAAATGTGGCTCGAATTTTGGAAACTGAAGCTTTTCCAAAAAATGCTGCCAGAAGCAACTCTATTTTTCTAATAAAAATTAGACTTTCGATGTGGAATTTTAAATTTTGTAAAATTACATAAGCGAGGATCTTGTACAAGAGGATGTCAAACGTCAATTCCTTTGTTCATTATGGCTTTAGTGTACTAAAAATACACGTTGAAGATTTTTTAATAATTTTAAAATTCCACAGTTTATAAAAAGCACATCAAGAGCAACTTGATTTATCAAACAAAACTGTCATTTCTTACTGAATAAACTCGCAGAAGTTTTCAATGAAAATTCTTGACATCAGACAACTAAATTTTAGTTGTTTGTAACAGAAAAATGTGGCTTGAATCTTGGAAACTAAAGCTTTTCCAAAAAAATACTGTCAGCAACTCTATTTTTCTAATAAAAGTCAGACCCTTGATGTGGAATTTTAAAATGTAAAATTACATTCAAAAAAGTGTTCAATAAACAACCATTTATTAGAAACCGAAAGCACTAAGCTTTGTAGAACTGGGTCAAATGTAATTTTACAAGTTTTTTAATTCCGAATACTTTACATAAAAAATAACTCTGGCTTTAAAATACAAAACAAATATCCAAACTCAGCGTATCCGCTTTCAACTGCGTTCGTTTGCTAAAATCTGACACAGATTTCGTGACAAAGCGTGTCAAATGTAATTTTAATCAACGAAATGAAATCTTGAAAAGCGAAAAATTGGCCACCGCGCCAACTGCGTTCCGCCAACTGTTGCCATTCAAAAATAATAGGAAATATGTAACCCATTAACAACCACCTGTTAATCGCGCCATTGTACCACAACACATCGTTCCGGACGATACAAAAATGTTGCTAATCGTCGCTAATCGCCGCTTTAAGGAAAACGTGATTTAAACAAACATTATATCCGCGGTATTAATAGCCCGATGGCTAAAAATAAAGGCCACCGGGGTTAAGTCCGGGACTTCCCCTCCGACCCTTCGCGAATTATTACCATTGTATGGCAGGAAGTGCGGATTAGAGACCCATTTTCCCGGATTATAGCCTCCAGGTAGTAGGCCACCTGGTGCTCGAGTTAAGTAAATATCAGCGTGTGTCAATCGAATTGTCAAATCTTCGCAGCCCGCTTGATCGATGACGGCTTACAGCCGCACTCCAGATACCCTCGAAATCGCAAATTAACCACGAAAATCTCCCGTCACGTGATCTCGGAAAACAACTTTCCAATAACCCATCCACGACAACAAGATAACCCCCCGTAATTAAAAAAACGTAATAAGCCATCGAGAGCGGCCGTGTTTGCAGTGTGATTTTGTTTACACTCACCTTATTGAGGAGATTTCTCCATTCCGCACACTTTCACGACGTACGCCACTGGCGGCACACGGAAAAAACGTCTCTGTGGAAGCCTTCGCACGCATCAAGGAGGCCGTGCCTAAGGCCCTGTTCACATCGCGACGCTCCGCGCTTTCCCGAATCTAGTTGCCGTAGTCTGCTGGAAACGCCGACCGCATTTCCACACTACTAGTTCACAACTGATCGCAGCTGGCCGAGTCGACGATATAAAACGGTTTTGTGTACCATTACCATTGTATGGGAGAGGTGGGCAGCGGCCCAACCGTGGACTGGTTGCGCGGGTCACGTGGCGGCGAGCAGGGCCGCGACTGGCCGACTGCGCGGATGGGTTAAGGGTCTCATGGGCGAAAAATCCAGTGACGTCACGGATCGGGGGTTATTCAACCGTGGTTGCGTCCTTGCGTTGTTGTTGGCGCGTTGGCGGATGGGTCTGTTTTGTGGTTTAAGGGAATAACAGAAGGATTGGTTGGGTGCCAAGTGTCAGAAATGTGGAGGTCAAAGGAAGTGGATTTTTTTGTTGGGGAAAGGTGGAAATGGAGTTTTCTTCGATGGGCAAAAAGTGCACTTCCTGCACGGGGTTTTTGTTCGTGACGGCAATCTCTCCAGATTCGAGTTCATTGAATTTATGCGATATAGTTTACAGTGTCGAGGAGATTCAATAAACTGCGTGGAAGTGACAATGAAATCACGATATTTTCCAACTAAGGATTGCAAAGTTACATTTACTAGGACGTGTCAAACGTGTTGACAATTTTATTACTACAAACTGACATTTGTTGAAATAGCGGTATTTAAGTTCAAGGGACTTTACAGTTTTGCGTTACTAAAAACAGCGCAATTAATATTAACTCGAAGTCGTAAAACGCGGTTTAAAAATGTTAATGGACATTGACATTCAAAATTAATTTCAAATCATCAATTTTAAAGTAAATTTTTCGATTTTACAATTTGAAAGTATAAAAATTGTAATTGAGGTTAAAACTCAAAATTATAGATTTTTTTTTAAAACTGTGTATGGATGACGAAATCCATAGCAATGCTACTCGAATGACGTTTGAACAAAAGTTCAAATATGTCAGAATCTGGAAACCGCAATGACGTTAATAAAATTTAATTATACATTTTAAGTCTAGAGGGATCTAAGTTCAAGAAATTTTTCAATTTCGCACCATTTAAAACAGCGTATTTAATCTTAAATCGAGCTCGTAAAAAGGGAGTTTTCAAATGTCAATGTAAAATGACACAAGACAGAAATTTGAAAATGAGGGACAATTAATTTCAGATAATGGCAAATTACAATCTATTTGAAACTATTCAAATATTGCAAGATCTGAAAGCCACAGCGACGCTCCTGAAGCTGAATTTTACAGTTGACATCTATTAAAATCTATAGAGACAGAAGTTGAAGGAATTTTGACATCTATTAAAATCTATCGAGACCGAAGTTCAAGGAATTTTATAATTTTATAATTTTAAAAATAGCGCGTTTAATATTAACTCGAAGTCATAAAAAGTGACTTTCAAATGTAAACGCAAAATAGTATTTTTCGAAGTTTCAAAGTAGTGCCAAATTAATTTGAAGTTTTCGAAGTTCCAGGCACAAGTTTCAAATATGTCAGAATATGGAAACCGCATTGACGCTCATAAAACCTAATTATACATTTGAAATCTAGAGGGATCTAAGTTCAAGAAATTTTTCAATTTTACACCTTTTAAAACATTGTATTTAATCTTAAATCGAGCTCGTGAAAAGGGGGTTTTCAAATGTCAGTGTAAAATGACACAAGACAGAAGTTTTAAAATGAAGGAAAATTAAGTTCAGATAATGACAAATTACACTTTAGAAGCGAATTTTATCTTTAGTGCGGTTTTAAAAGCGACATTTCCATTTGAAACTGTTCAAATATTTAAAGATCTGGAAGCCAGAGTGACGCTCTTAGAAATTAATTTTACAGTCAAAATCTATTAAAATCTATAGAGATTGTAGTTTAAGGAATTTTACAATTTTATACTTTCACAATTAATACATTTAACATTAACAGGAAGCAGTGACAAGTGATTTTCAAATGTAAATGTAAAATCATACTTTATAGAGGTTTTAAAATTAAGAAAAAATAATTTCAAGTAATGACAGATGGGATGACATTTCCATTTGAAATAGAGCACTCTTAAAGAATAAACAAATTAAGGAATCCGTAACACGCTACTCGAATGACGTTTGAACAAAAGTTTCAAAGTAGAATCAAATTAATTTGAAGGTTTTGAAGTTCCAGATACACGATTCAAATGTCTCAGAATTTAGAAATCGTAATGACGCTCATTAAACTTAATTATACATTTGAAACCTAGAAGGAGCTAAGTTCAAGATATTTTTCAATTTTACACCTTTGAAAACAGCGCATTTAAACTTAAATCGGGCTCGTAAAAAGGGAGTTTTCAAATGTCAATGTAAAATGACACAAGACAGAAGTTTTAAAATAAAGGAAAATTAATTTCAGATAATGAAAAATTACACTTTAGAAGCGAATTTTATGTTTAGTGTGGTTTTAAAAGCGACATTTCCATTTGAAACTATTCAAATATTTCAAGATCTGGAAGCCAGAGTGGCGCTCTTAGAAATTAATTTTACAGTTAAAATCTGTTAAAATCTATAGAGATTGTAGTTTAAGGAATTTTACAATTTTATACTTTCAAAATTAATGCATTTAACATTAACAGGAAGCAGTGACAAGTGATTTTCAAATGTAAATGTAAAATCATTCTTTATAGAGGTTTTAAAATTAAAAAAAAATAATTTCAAGTAATGACAGACGGGATGACATTTCCATTTGAAATAGAGCACTCTTAAAGAATAAACAAATTAAGGAATCCGTAACACGCCACTCGGATGACGTTTGAACAAAAGTTTCAAAGTAGAATCAAATTAATTTGAAGGTTTTGAAGTTCCAGATACAAGATTCAAATATCTCAGAATTTAGAAATCGCAATGACGCTCATAAAACTTAATTATACGTTTGAAATCTATAAGGATCTAAGTTCAAGAAATTTTCCAATTTTACACCTTTGAAAACAGCACATTTAATCTTAAATCGGGCTCATAAAAAGGGAGTTTTCAAATGTCAATGTAAAATGACACAAGACAGAAGTTTTAAAATGAAGGAAAATTAATTTAAGATAATTAGAAATTACACTTTAGGAGCGAATTTTATGTTTAGTGTGGTTTTAAAAGCGACATTTCCATTTGAAACTATTCAAATATTTCAAGATCTGGAAGCCAGAGTGACGCTCTTAGAAATTAATTTTACAGTCAAAATCTGTTAAAATCTATAGAGATCGTAGTTCAAGGAATTTTACAATTTTATACTTTCAAAATTAATGCATTAACATTAACTGGAAGCAGTGACAAGTGATTTTCAAATGTAAATGTAAAATCATACTTTATAGAGGTTTTAAAATTAAGGCAAAATTATTTCAACTAATGACAAATGGGATGACATTTCCATATGAAATAAAGCACTTTTAAAGGATACACAAATTGAGGAATCCGTAACACGCTACTCGAATGACGTTTGAACAAAAGTTTCAAAGTAGAATCAAATTAATTTGAAGGTTTTGAAGTTCCAGATACAAGATTCAAATATCTCAGAATTTAGAAATCGCAATGACGCTCATAAAACTTAATTGTACATTTGAAACCTAGAAGGATCTAAGTTCAAGATATTTTTCAATTTTACACCTTTGAAAACAGCGCATTTAAACTTAAATCGGGCTCGTAAAAAGGGAGTTTTCAAATGTCAATGTAAAATGACACAAGACAGAAGTTTTAAAATGAAGGAAAATTAATTTCAGGTAATGAAAAATTACACTTTAGGAGCGAATTTTATGTTTAGTGTGGTTTTAAAAGCGACATTTGCATTTGAAACTATTCAAATATTTCAAGATCTGGAAGCCAGAGTGACGCTCTTAGAAATTAATTTTACAGTTAAAATCTGTTAAAATCTATAGAGACCGTAGTTCAAGGAATTTTACAATTTTATACTTTCAAAATTAATGCATTTAACATTAACTGGAAGCAGTGACAAATGATTTTCAAATGTAAATGTAAAATCATACTTTATAGAGGTTTTAAAATTAAGGAGAAATAATTTCAAGTATTGACAGATGGGATGACATTTCCATCTGAAATAGAGCACTCTTAAAAAATAAACAAATTAAGGAATCCGTAACACGCTACTCGAATGACGTTTGAACAAAAGTTTCAAAGTAGAATCAAATTAATTTGAAGGTTTTGAAGTTCCAGATCCAAGATTCAAATGTCTCAGAATTTAGAAATCGCAATGACGCTTATAAAACTTAATTATACATTTGAAATATATAAGGATCTAAGTTCGAGAAATTTTCCAATTTTACACCTTTGAAAACAGCGCATTTAATCTTAAATTGAGCTCGTAAAAAGGAAGTTGTCAAATGTCAATGTAAAATGACACAAGACAGAAGTTTTAAAATGAAGGAAAATTAATTCAAGATAATGACAAAATACACTTTAGAATCGAATTTTATGTTTAGTGTGGTTTTAAAAGCGGCATTTCCATTTGAAACTATTCGAATATTTCAAGATCTGGAAGCCAGAGTGGCGCTCTTAGAAATTAATTTTACAGTTAAAATCTGTTAAAATCTATAGAGATTGTAGTTTAAGGAATTTTACAATTTTATACTTTCAAAATTAATGCATTTAACATTAACAGGAAGCAGTGACAAGTGATTTTCAAATGTAAATGTAAAATCATACTTTATTGAGGTTTTAAAATTAAGAAAAAATAATTTCAAGTAATGACAGATGGGATGACATTTCCATTTGAAATAAAGCACTTTTAAAGAATAAACAAATTGAGGAATCCGTAACACGCTACTCGAATGACGTTTGAACAAAAGTTTCAAAGTAGAATCAAATTAATTTGAAGGTTTTGAAGTTCCAGATCCAAGATTCGAATGTCTCAGAATTTAGAAATCGCAATGACGCTTATAAAACTTAATTATACATTTGAAATCTATAAGGATCTAAGTTCGAGAAATTTTCCAATTTTACATCTTTGAAAACAGCGCATTTAAACTTAAATCGGGCTCGTAAAAAGGGAGTTTTCAGATGTCAATGTAAAATGACACAAGACAGAAGTTTTAAAATGAATGAC